GTTACTTTGTTGCCTCCTCCATCCAGTAAAGGACCCACAATTTCCCTGATCTTCCTCTTGTTGCTGAAATACTTGTAGAAAGCCTTTTTGTCACCCTTCATGTCCACTGCCAGCTCCAAATCCAGTTGTACTTTGGCCTAAGTTCAGAATATTTTTTGTGGTGGTACAAGGGCAATGAAGGTGACATCTCTTTTCATGTGGTAAATAATAGATGGTTAACTGACTAATCAGTTGACATTATCTGATCCTACACCTAACAGTTATATTGAGCGATACCTCAGCACCCTTAAAAGGATCTCATGGCGCACTGGTTGAGATAGTATGTGAACCCAAAGTTTGACTTCCTGTAGAACATGGTGCAAGAACTTTATTGGAAGTTCATATAGTATAAAGTATAACAGGAATAACAAGTTTCAATTTGAAGTCTGAATACTAGCTGTGACGGAGGGCCTCCTCAGGCCGATCTCAACGGCCCGCCCTCTGTCTCTGGGCAACCGCCCACTTATCTCGCCCGCCACACGCCTTTGATGATAATCAGTTCAATTAGGTTGTTCACTAAGCGGGAGGCTGCCCTTCGTACTGCCCCGATGCCAAGGGGCGCTCTGCGGCTCCGACCTCCCCTAATACCGCAGCCCAAGCCTCGCAGATGGCATCATGGTGTTCTTCCTCACCGGCCCCACACTGGGCCCCAGAATCTTCCACGCAAGACCCCACTATGACCTTCGCTACACAGGCGGCCACTCCACCGTCAACTGGGCTACCTCACCCCCCCAAAGCTATCTTCCCCTCTCGGGTGTGGTTCCCCCGGAACCTTCGGCCTCTTGCCCTGGCCCACCTCAAGGCCAGTCGGGACCCCAGGCCCCCGGCCCTTTTGACCCTCACTGGTCCTGGCCCCAACATGTGCCAGTCGAGGGTACTATCCCCTTTGGGCTGGGTCTCTCTAGCCACTCACTGTCTCCTCGGGCCTCACCATGCCACAACTCCCTTCCTCCTAGGAGCAACCGCAGCACCCTGCCCACATCTCTGTCACTCTCGGGATCTGCCCCCTCTGGGCCCCTCATAACACTGGCCCTCTAGGCCCTCTCCTCACACTCGGGGTTCACCCACCCAGTGGTGGTGGGAGCTAGGGGTTAAGGCGCCCCGACCCGCCTTTCACCGGGGTGATCACTGGCCTGGCATTTCCTGGGGGCTCCCGCGCCACTGAGAGCCCCACCAGACCACCCACTCCTGGCAGGGTGCAGTTTCAGGTCATGCCCAGGACCAGGAGCCTCCTGCCAACCCCTTGCAGCTCCCCCTTACCTCCAGATCGTTCACAGCAGCCCTAAGGCCAGGCGATGTTGATGCCTGACCTCCTGCAGCCCAACTGCCTGGTTTATATAGGCCTCAAAATGGCTGCCGCAATCAGGCACTTGGAGGCTGCCGGCTCCAGGCCCTTAAAGTGGCAGGAGCACCCTCTGCTCCGCCACACTAGCAAAAAGTATTTTAGCAATGCTAGTACAGATGGTTCTCTTTTCCACCAACAGGTTTGATAAAATTTATTTTAATACTTTTACAATGAGGATATAGGCAAGAAAATTATTAATCGGGCATATATCAAGCCCCATGCAATAATTTATTATGAGACTAACATTTTTGCTTGTGTTTCTTATATTGATAAAATGTTTTGTAAGTAATATGATTAGTTCTGAAAGTGGCTTCCTTTGTAGAAGAATTTGGCCTAACTTGTCAAATATTTATTAAGTGTGGACAGGAACAGCTTTTATAAATACTTTCATAGGGGTGAACATTAGGAGAGAGAGAAAAGCACAAGATGAAATGGCTACAAACTGATTATGAGCAAAGATTCACTATCTATCTATCTATATTTACATAACTATCAGTGAAGTTTTTGAGTAATTTTTTAATCAAAGTAGCTGGGGTAAAGAACCAGAACTGTTTTAAAGATCACACTCAAAAAGTTTATGGGTTGATGTTCTTAGCTCAATAAACAGCATATAGATGATTAATATATGGATTCAAGCATTTACTATGTCCATGTTGAGGTATAGTGGTTTCTTATTTGATGTGAGAAATAGAAATTTGGGTATCTAAGGTTTCAAGGAACACTCGCCCCCCCAATGACTGTGCTTTTTAAAATCTTTCTTGGAAGCATTGGATATTTGCTACACCTAAGGCCAGAGGTGTTGACAGAGGTATCCAGGGGCTCTCCCGGTACTAAAATGCCTCATTCAGCTAAAGGGTCTGGCTTTTCTGTTGAGGGACAAAATAATAGCCATAGTGGGGATCAGGCAGGTTGTTTTCCCCCAGGTCAGACTGGCAGAGACCATGGGGTTTTCAGCTTCCTCTGAAGTACTGGGCATTGTCCTCTTTGTGAATGTTTTGAGCAAACATCAAACAATTCCTTCTTTCCCCACTACAGTATATTATGTATACAATATATATAATACAGGATATTGTTAGTGTTTTTGCCTCCCCTTCTTTCACCTGTGGCTAGTTACAGGACACTCTCAGTGTTTCTGGCTTTGTACCTTGCAGCTGTTGTGTATGAGCGTGTACAGTGAATGATTTTTAGGAATCTTTGGGTGAACAGTTGCTTGCAAATGCAGGGGAATAGACTCAATGGCCTAGGAGGCCCCTTCCATGCCTATGCTATTTTAAAACTGTTGAACTATTCATAAAATAAAAATGTTCTTTAAATGTTAAGGGAATATTTCATTTTGCCATAATCAGCTTTTGGTCCCTAAACAAAAATAAAATGCTACAATAGGATTTGTATGAAGCAAAAAGTGCTGATTCACAATAAAATTAAGCACATTTTATTCTAGCATGATCACTCTTGGTATTATAATCATGTTGGAGTAGCATCATGGTAATTTAATGAAGGACACTGAACTGATTTGCTTGAAAAATATTTACTGAAAGCATTTCTACTGAAGCCGAAACATTTTCTGGGGATGTATACATTTTGATGAAGTTTTCTAAGATTCAAAGGTTTCTGAGAGAGAGATAGAGACCAACCCAATTGAAAAAAGGTCAGGTTTTCAATTTAAAAATGGATGTTGAGATGAAATTCTGTTTTATAAAAATGTTGAAATGGTTTTGGCTTTGTTTCAACTGGAAATTAAAGCAAATTTTGAAATCCTGAAAAGCAATTCTGATATGGAATTTCATTGGTTAGCCAACTCACGCACTGAACAACACAACTACTATCAGTAACATGCAGCTCTTTGTCAGGTCTACTTCCTTCAATTTATGTAAGAATTCTTTAAACATAAGCTAGAATGAGCTTTATAACTGAGGACAAAGCTAAAATTCACTTTGCACTGAAGTTGTGAAATGATGAGATACGTCCGCTCAGTTCAACTCAGTCTTCCTGTGGTGAAGAGGTCTAGCATGTGTAGGAAAAGGACTTGGCCACCAAAGCCCTCATCATAAACCTTCAGACATATCTAAAAAGCTTTTTACCTCATTCAGAACTTTGAAGACATAAATCAACATTTTGAATTTGACTCAATATGCTATGTATAGGGATCTCCAAAATTCGTGCTAGAAGTGGGTTGTGTGGCATGGTGCAGTGGCTTCTTTAATCTTGGAGTTTCCCTTGCACACCCCCTGCTGCTGATTAGCAGAGGGGCCCCATTGCTCGGCACCCATGCCTGAAACTGCAGCTGTGGTTTTCACCTCCTGGCCATCAGGCATGGGTGGTGAGCAGTGGGGGAGAGCATGGAGGTAATTCTAAGATTAAAGAAGCTGCCACACTGTGAACTTCTGGCATAAATTCTGGAGATCACTAGCTATGGGCAACAGAGGGAAGTTTGATATGCCACAATAATTCACACGGCTGAATAAAAGACATTGTGTTCTACATATTTTGGAATTTTCTCAGTGGTGATAGTTTATAAAGTTTTCATTTAAAAAATAGCTAAAATTTGATATCTTCCATGTTTCAGGGATACTCAGGAGAGCATCCATCATATCATCCTCCTGTAAAATATCATAATCAGAAGGAAACATAATTCAGCATCCTGCTTGACACCAGACAACACTGAGATACATAGACTGTTCTTTTATCTGAGCCTAATTTGCACAAAATGAACTCCTTCAGCTCTCCTATGAAATATGAATTTTCGTTTCCACCTAGGAGAAATTTTACAATCTTTCCATTCTCTTATGCCTCAGGAAGGGTGTGTGCAAATAAATATATATTTTTTTGAAAATATCTAGTTGTCTAACTTCTGCCATGAGTTCTGATTCCTTTAAATGATGTGTGATATGAAGTGAGATTAATTGAATGTGAGATTACAGACCTGACACAGTATATAAAGAACCGGGCCACAAAACACAGAGAGAGAAGCTTAGTGGCGAAATGGAGAGATAGACAAAAAGAATAAGGGAGATTAAACAGGAAAACAGTGCTTAATGTCAGGCTTTGGACTAATAACTGAAATAAACTTAATATTCATTCAATTTAATTATAATGAATGCTGGCAGTTAATTGGATTGATAGCCAACTGAATTGGTAACTAAAAGAAATTCGAAAAAAAAATCTTTCCCCCAAATGTAGCAATCTGTTTATCTGAAACAGTTTGCTAGTAGGAGGCAGTTGCGGGGAGGGGAAAGGAAGCTGGAAAGGGAAGAAGAAAGATTCTCCAGACAAAAATGAAATTAAGCTACTGGTAGTAATTAAAGAATAACAGACATACTGGTGCGCAATAATGAAAATCAAATTACTGCAGGATTTTTAAGTTATGTATTTGTAGGCACACTCTAGAAGGTACTCTACTATAAAACACATCACAATCTTGTCCAACATCTTTGCCAATGTACGTAAAGCTTGGATTATGCTGAAACTACTGACATGCTGGAAGAAGAGTGCAGTGCACTGCGGTTTTGGATTTTTACAAAAAGCTGCTGTTAAAATTAAAATCTATAATGCGACCGGAATATTTAGTTGGAAATTGATTATAGCTCTACTACAATTTTTTTGAAAGAGTCCTTACCTCAAAAGTCCACTCCTCTTCTTCATCCCCATCCAATAACATTTTTGTCTCCTTGTACACCTTTCCTACTTCCAGCTTCAATGGGGATGCATTAAACTCAATCCTTTGCAGATTAAAGCCTAGACCAATGCCTATAGCCTTTATAAAGCTTTCTTTCAGTGCCTGAAATATAGAATGACATTAGTTTAATTCATATGTGTTGCTTTTAATGTCTGAAAATGTGATGCACTAAATATAAATGTATGTTTTGATCAGACACTGGCTCATATGAATATTATGATGTTAAAAATAAGGGTTAGTCTACATTTACATTAGTCTAATTACTAACAGCAGAATCCATCTCATCACACATTCCTCCCTTTCCCCCAACCCCACGCCCCTCAATTACCAAGGACAGTGGATAACCTGATGCTGTAATGCATACTTCATTATAAACCAACATCATACAATTAAGAAATAAAGAGCCAGATTGTGGACTTTCCTGGATGAACGAGGAATCTTTTTGTCCCATCTTAGTGTCAAAGCACCTGATATAATTCTTCCTTAGAATTCCAAGTGGAATAGTGACCCTTTGGCATGACTAAAGGCACCCTAAGGCAGCAAGAAGGGATCCAAACATAGCCACTCAGATATTCAAATCATAATTTTTACATCATGACATTAAGAAAACATGGTATCAAAGAAACATTTAATAGTTATTCCTTGTGTTCTTAAAAGAAATACCAAAATATATATAATACCCAGTGCCTATAAAACATATCCAGCTGCATCCATTCATTGTTCATGGACTCAATTACACCCCACTCAGCATCTGTAAACTGGCGCTTCATAATGCGAAAGAAATCTGGAACTGAACCACTACCTGTAAATTAGAAAAGATATTTAAAAAAGATATTTAGTAGAGCAATAATTATAAGCAAATGAGTTGCCTCAAGTTACCACTCCAAGAAACAATGGATCAATCTCAGTCTGAATTTCTGAATTCAACCTGTTCTAAAATCTCAAAACTAAATAAGATGGTAAATGCAGCTGTTGTTCATACAATCAAATGTACATGCAACATGTTAAAAATGTAGAGATGATAATAAAAGTCTACTATGACAAATAACGTACTACATGTAAAGCAAATGAATAAAACAAGTCCTCTCACAGCTAAAGTACCATCATAAGAAGATGAATATTGAGGGATGCTATAACACCCTGCAGCTTTTTCAGTATCCTTCAGAATGACTATATCTAATCACTGACCAGTGGGGGGGGCTGTGAGCTTCAGCATCCTACCTCCAGACTGCTGACACCTAAGAGAAAGAGCCTCAGAGTGGACGCTGCATCCTGACCAGATGTACTTCGACTGTGATGACAGCCCTAGGATTGGTAGATGTAGAATTGTTTGTATTGTTGCTTTTTGTTTTCATTCTGTATCAATAAACTTGCTTATTATCAACTGGCAGGTGTTGTGCTCGGTCTGAGGTTTGTGCTCACCCAGAACAAAAGTATAAGGGCTGGGTTCCCAAAATCCAGTGTCAACAGTGGTCACAACCTTCTAGCAACAGAGCACATAGTCCAGAGGGAAAAGGTCTTGAAGAAACAACTTAACTTTGGGATAGGGCCAGAGAGATACAGGACTACAACAAGTGGTGCAAAAGGGAAGCAAGTACATCAAGCATGGGGAATAAGCATGATAAGCCGGAAGCTGCATCCTACAAAAAGAATTTTGATCTGACTGGCATCACCAAAACCTGGTGGGATAGGTTTTATGACTGGAATGTCAACATCAAGGAATGTCAACATCTCTGTTTTGGAAGGACATAGTTGGTAGAAAGGGTAACAGTCTTGCCTGTATGTCAAACACAGACATGCTTGTCCCCCGGTTCAAGAGGAAGAGGACAGCAAGGAGAATGCATCCTGGTAATGATGAAAAGTGAAAAATGCAGCAATGATATAATGATTGGGATTTATTATATGTTATCAAATTAGGAAGAGGGGGTGGATGATGCACTCTTCAAACAGGTGACAAATCTATCCAAAAGCTACAGAATGGTACTGCTGGAAGACTTAAATTTTCCTGACATCTGCTGGAAGAACAATGCAGACAAACATAAATGTTGAGCTGGTTCCTAACTTGTGTTAAGGACACCTTTGTTCCAGAAGGTGGACAATACAACTAAAGGGTCATCCATCTTGGATCTTATCCTGACCAACAGGGAAGAACTGATGGAGGAGGTGAAGGTGATGGGCAACTTGGGAGAACACAATTATGGTATGATAGAATTCCAGATCTAGAGCTAGGAAAAGGATGAGGTCAGAAAAAATAGGATGCTAGATTTCAAAAAGTCAGATTTCATCTAACTCAACTATAATAATAGCAGAAGATACTAGAGATACTATATTGATTAATGGCACTTCTATGATACTGCAAGTGTGATTCTGGAAGCTGTGGACAGCTTTGTATGCTTCACTACACACCCAAAGCATAGATCATTAATCTGCATAACTATGCAATCTATCTGTTAAATCTTATAACTCAGTAAATTCCTCTTGCAGAAACAACCTGTTTTCTTGAGCAGGGATAATCCAATTCTAGATACAGAAAAAGCCCTACATTTTGAAAGTATTTTGACAGATTGAGTTGTATATTCTTGTATAAAGCTTTTGCTTTAAAACTTGTAGTGACAATTGGAAATGTTAGGGTGTTTTTCAGCATCTCTTCACTCATCATGGCCTAACAAGCAGACATCTTAACAGTAGGTCTTAGAAAATCTGGGTTTTATTTCCGTCTGTCACCAACCTCTAGATGACACTGGACAAATAATTTCCCTTCTATCTACCCAATTTCCCATCGGCAAAATGGAGATAATTATACTGAACTCCACTGTGAAGTGCACTTTTCTTACAAAGATATCTAAACTCTATAAGTGTTATTAATTGATATGCCTAAAGTAGACCCCCTATACTCTACCACAGTCAGATTTCTTAGAAAGTTTTCCTCTCTCTTTCAGTAAAGAATCAGAGTATCAAATGCAAAATGCTTCACATAACAGTAATATTTTGTAAGATGGAAAGTTACCCACTAAGTTGAAGAATAGATTATAACAAAGCAAAATATCTTTCAAGTTGGGAAACTTGATGAAAGATAGCAATGACCAACTAATGCACTGATCCAGAACAAGCCAGTGACATAAATCCTTCTGCACTCATAAGGAAGATAGTGTTACATTTGGAGTGCTAGTGCTAGGTGCACATGTTAGTGGATGTTTGAAGTAGATGAGAGCTACCTTGATAAAAACATTTTTTTCATTTTAAATAGTTGATAAACTCTTTTAAGAAAAGACTCTGATTAGCCGCCCTTCCCTCTACTCAACTCATACAATCCCTTTCACAATTTGATGACTACACTAGTATGTGTTCCAGAGACATCACGGTCAGCTTTGCTTGTAGTATTCCAGTGCCTCCTTCATTACCACCTAGGACTTTTAACCACTCATGTCTGACATTCCCCATCTCACTACCAATACTTCTCCCATCCAGACTTCAAGTTCTTCCTACGCTCACACTCCTGATCCCAGTTTTTTCTTTATGTGCCCTGTTACACTCCCCTGAAATACTCTTTAATTCATATCTTCCAGTTTTCTTACTTCCCTTTCTACTGCAAAGCCAATCAACTCTTTTCTCTACAAACCTCAGGTACTACTACTTTCTTCATGATCTCCTTCTCCTCATGCCCCTGTCTTGCTTTGTTTCGCCCCTTATATTTAACCTAAGCCCTCTGATGATTTCTGCCCAGAGTGCTCCATACTTTAGATCCTGCTCCTGGCTACATGTTTGTTCCTGTCAAATTTTTCAGTCCCATACAAGGACTGAGATCAGAACAAGATGAAACACAGCAATTATTCCTCTTAAAAAATATCACAGAATCATAGAATATGAGGGTTGGAGGTATGGCAGAATGCCATCTGTTCCTCCCCAAAGTCTGCTCTCAGGTGAATGCCTAATCTGACAATTTGGCTACCATAGTCACTGCAGAGGGCAGACACCTCTGGACCCCTGGGCTTCAGGTAACCCTGAATTGTAACCTCAACTGGATACATTCCTGAACGAGGGGGAAACCTGCTCCCTCTGCCTATGTGAGTGGCCTCACACACCTGAGTCGGGGCTTAAACTCCCTATTGTTCTAAGCGATGTCACCATGACTGGGAGGGGGCTAGAGACCCTGCTAGTCTACCCAGCAACCAGTGATGCATTTCAAATTGGTTGGCTGGCAGCCAACAATTGCTGGCCTTCATTGGATCAGGTAAATGAGGTCATAAGGTCTATATAAGTTAAGAACTGCCCAGAAGGCAAGGCAGCAGCCATGATGAGAACTCTCAGAGAAGCTGGACCACCTGAAACTCACGCTCTCCTATGAAACTCATGGTGAATGACCTGCTTGTCTCCGCAGGGAATCTCCACCTGCCTCTGGATGATACTTGTGAGTAAGCTACCTGAGATCTAACTAGATATATAGCTTGTAGTAATTCAGATGCATGATCAAAAGCTACCATGCCACAGTTTGCTCTAAGTTATTTCTCTGGTATTGCTCTACCCTGTACCCTATTCCAAACCTACTCCTTGTTACCAATAAAGTTCTCCTCTGTACCTAGCATGGGAGACTTATTGGGAGAGGGTCTAAATTATGCCTTGGGGTCCCCTTGTTCAGCTAAATAAGGGAGACCACTATTTCTGCTTCAGACTGAGGGAAGCACCCCAAGTTCTTGCAGTAGGTCATGTACCCTCAAGGACTACTAGGCCTGTGTTTCCCAGGGGGGACAGGTCCAAGATCAATCCAGACCCTGGGTGGTGGTGGTGGCATTACCCCCAGGCTTGTGGGTATGCTCTAGGAAGGGGGTGGGTTGGCTGAACATAAGGCGCCCCCAAGGAGGCACTTGGTGCCTGGAAGGTGGTCGGGTGCAGTGAGGTGGGTGGGTCAATGCAGGAGCACCCCTTACCGGCCCGTCACAGCAGGGACCTCAGGAGGTCATCTAGTCCAATCCCTTCAAAGCAGGATCATTCCCAACTTTTTTTTTTTTTTTGGGGGGGGGGGGGTGGAATTGCTGTCTTTATCTCCTCCCAATATAAAACCAAAGCTATAATTTAAGGAAACTTAACAACATGAGAATAATTTTCAAAACAAAACCATGATTAGTATGGTCATGTTAATATTCATATAAAGCTATTTCCCACATTCAAAAAAGTTTGGATTACTGACCAAATATGCAGGTACCTACAAATTCTCTGCTAACGTTTTGAATTATTATACTTACACATTTACTGAATTTGTAAGCCTGTCTTTACAATTTTATCTTCTCCCATTTAACATTGTAAGATGGCAGTTTAACATTGTATTTACTCAAATTTAAGACAGCCCTGAATTCAGATGACACCCCAATAATTAGATTTTATATGTAAAAATGTATAAATTTGCTATAATATTCCAGGTATAGAATCTAATTATTGGAAGGCTATCTTAAATTAGTTCCGCCCCCCACCCCACACACACTGTTACAGCAGGGAAAGCAGTGGCTGGGGGGGGGGTCAGGTGACTGGGGTGGAGGGGGAGGGGGCAGGCAGGCCCCTTTGCCCTCTGCCCCCCAACTTCCTTCCCTCTGAAGCCTTCCTGCCCCACCACATGCCTCCACCCCACCTCTGCCCCATGCCCTCTACTCACCCCCCACAATGTCTGCCCCTTCCCCCCACTGCCCCTCACTGCACTCACTCCTCCGTCTCTGCCCCTCCCCTCTGCTCCCCAGAGTCTCTACTGCTCCCTGCCCCCTTACCCTGAGACGTTGCTGGGGCTCTGTTCCTTGATGGGCCACAGAGCACAGC